GCCAGCAGGAAGGGTGAGGACCAGGAAAATCTGAAATGGTTTTCCCCTGGTTTTGTCATGAAACTTAACAAAAATAAAGGACAAGACAAGCCCATGGTCAATGCTGTGCTCTGGGTCTTAGCCAAATCAAATTAACTCCTGGGCTGTTGGCTCCATTTGGAGATGATAACCAGGACTCTAATGCATGCTGTCATCCAGCCTAAATTTCCTTTCCTAGGACTTTTTCTGCAGGGTCTTCCTGCCCCAGGGGTTCCCAAATTGGACCCCTACCCCTGGGGTTTGATTTGAAATCAAAACCCTGCTTATTGGCACTGGGTTAAACATGATATTTATTTTCTTACTCTTGAGCTGCTGCATTTTTGGGGATGCCAGGTAAAAACTTCCCATGTAAACAATAATAAATAATAAAAAATGAAATGAATAATAGTGATAATGATTATAACGATGATAATAAAGATAATAAAATAAATAAAGTAATAAAAATAAAATAATGAGAATAATAATGAGAATAATAATGAGAATAGTAATAGTAATAATAATAGTAATAGTATTAGTAATAGTAATAGTAATAGTAGTAGTAATAGTAATAGTAATAGTAGTAGTAATAGTAATAGTAATAGTAGTATTATTAATAATACTAATACTAATGCTAATGCTAATGCTAATACTACTACTACTGCTACTACTACTACTAATTCTACCCTCCAAACAGCCTGATTAACATCTTTATTCCTTTTAAAGCACTCCACTCAACCCAATCAACCAAAGCCTGCTTTATACGCTATGTAAACGAGCTGTTGACATTTTTATCTATAGGATTCATAATTTCCCACCACGCGGTTGGCCATGAATTTGGGAGGAAAAAGGAAAAAAACCTGTATTATAATGCCACAATTTCTGGTGGAGCCCAACTGGTCCTGCTCTGAGCCACGCTGGGGCATTCTTGTGTCATTTATACCTTCCATTTTAGGGTCATTTTAGCTATTTTTTCTGTTGTGCAGAATTATTCCCCAAATGCCCAGGTTCCTACGTGACTCTGTGCATGAGGGCAAGGTGCTTTGGGCCGGAAAAAACTCCCGAATTCCCTGGGAGCAGCTTCCCTGCAGGGACGGGGTTTGCTGACGAGGAAACCACGCGGGCTGAGATTGATGAAGATCCCACACGAGTAGCACACTGCGCTGACAGTCGTTATTTCAGAGTGGTTATTAATTACCAAAGAGCTGCGAAATCCAGCGTTTGTACCATTTCCAAGGCACTTTTCCCAAGAGCAGCAATGGCAACCGGCTCTGTCTGTAGCAATGTATAACTTGCTATTTGTCTCTATATGTTTCTGTCTTTTTGTGTGGTTTTTGTGAAGATTTTGGGATTCTTACTGACTAAATGCATTTTAAAAAAATCCCTTTTTTTGACTGAAAAGAGATTTCAGCAAAAGAAACGTTTTGACTTCAAAAGTAATTCCTAAGATTTCTGATCAGATGTTCCTGAATGAAGTGTAAATGCACGTCTCCACCTACACCAAAGCCAAACCCAAGGTATTTTCTTCTTCCTGTGATGCTGTTATGGATGCGTTCATTAAAAAATGGGTCTGTCTTAATTTTGTTACTGGGATAAATTCAATTCCCAAAGCCAGGCCACTGTCACTGAGGTCCAATGAAAGAGTCAGACACCAAAAACGCTTAAATTTGACATTTTTATTTCATTGCAGAAGAAAATCCAACATAGGCCTCATTATGTTATGCATCTTTAATTATAAAAATAAGCAAAGAAAATAACTTGCATCTTTCTCCTTACTATGATATGTTTCAAATAACCTTTATATGAACACACTGAGCTTTAAAAATGTAATTTAAACAATAAATAATGACATATACCAGATATGCTCACTGTTTATTCCAGTACTCAGCAAAAAAAAAAAAAACCAAAACAAAAACCTCAAACTCTCTCCCCCTTTTTCTAAGTCTCTTTAAATTATAAATACATAATGCAAATTTATAATGGCACAAAACATCTAAAGTGCAAACAAATCACAACGAGGATCATGCAAACGTTTCTAGAGAAGCCCCCTCCCCGCCCCCAAGAGAAATCGTCGCGTGACGAGATTAAAAAAATAAAGCATTAGAGATTAAATAAAAGGTGAAATAGCTGGACTTCGTTTGGAGGAGCAGCCCCCATCCCCAGAGCGGGGGGATCGCTCTCACCTAATTCAAACCACCCAAAATCAGGCGTCCTCGTCCCAGGAGAGGGGACACCCGTCCCACCCCCGTGCTCCCTCCCCTGGGCTTCGATGGCCAAAGTTGGGCAAGGTGAACCCCGGGCCTTGAGATTTTAGGGCTTTTTTATGACCTCAGCAGAAGGAAAATGCAAAAAAGGGACAGATTAAAGCAGCCCCAAGCCCTCGTGATGCAGCTGGGGGTCTCCCCAATTTGGGGTGACCGGGGGAGGCAGAGTTTTGGGGTGCACGGGTCACTGTTACCTGCAAGACCACAGCAAATTGAACTGGGGGGAGTTACTTTCCCAGTCGTCTTCTCATCCAAATTAAGGGGATGAGAAGTTTGAATTCCTACTGGGAAAAGGAAGTTAATTACAGGTCCCCAAATGGGTGTGGGGTGACCAAAACCTCCTCCCCAGCCCCAAAAATCAATTCTATAAACCATCCTTGGGTTTTGGAAAGCAATGGAGGAGGCCATTGCCATTGGGAGCATCTCCATGGGGAACAGTGGCTGCCAAATCTCCTCGGTGAGCTCCACTGGTGGCAGCCCATGGGGACCTTGGGTACCCAAAATGGGAGGGAGCTGCATCGCATCCCCCAGATCCAGGCTCCACAGCACCAAGGGGTTCGGATGCTGCCTCTGGCCGGGTAAAGACCCTTTTTTGTCATTATTTCCCCAAACATCACTCAATGCACAGACCCCCGTCTCCCATGGGTGCAGCATGGGGTGTGATGCTGCAGGGTGCAGACGTGCAGGGCTGGGATTGGGTCCTAAACTAAGCCAAATTTTGGGGGTATTCATGAGGCCTTTGGTTTTCACCTTGCGAAACTTCTTCGCGTTGGACTCCACATACCTGACTGTGATCTACGCATGATCAATATTTCATCTCGCTCGCCCTGGACGGCACGATTCCGAGTATTAAAACCAAAAAAAAATCAACCAAGAAAATAATAACCCTCTACCGTCAGCAACATTTTTCGCCGCTTACAATTTTATGACAGCACTTTTTGGGCTACGTTTAATGAAGACAGCAATATTCGAAACGCCGCCACTGCATCTGGTTTCAATATATTAGCAGCAAGTTATTGTTTAAAGGCTTTGTGGTTTTTTAAAAGAAGAAAGGAAGGAAGGAAGAAAGAAAAAAGAAAGCAAGCAGTTATATTGCTTTAGATTTCGTAAAAGAAAAAACAGATCCCTCCTTTATGAGCTCTCTGAGTTGACCAAGTCACTAAGAGACACTAAGGGGATGGATTTGGAGCGTGGAGTTGGTTGGATGCCATAATGTGGCTTTTTTTTGGCTCTCAGAAGCCCAAATGTGGCTACTGTGCATGGGGGGGCTCAGCTCCTGCTGCTCTGCCCATGAGGGGAGGAACAGCAGAGCCCAGAGCATCCACGGCTCCCAGAGGCAG